ATTTTTTATTTAAAAGTATTAACTTTTGAATGGTTAGTATGTTCACGTGGTTCAAAATTGTAAGATTACAAAAGAGTATGACTGATAAATCTCCCTCCTATTCCCAGTCATCAGTTTCCTTCTACATACACAGCCAGTATTAGCAGTCTCTTCTGCATCCCTGTAGAGATATTTTATATATATATGTACAAATATTATATATCGCCCCACCTTTTCGTAACTCAAATAGTAGAATACTATTTCCATGGGTTCCTACTTCAGGTCCCACATCTGGGCCCTGAGATTCACTAGTCTCTGACTCCCTTTTCGGAGCAAGAACACTTAACTTGGCCGGCACCATCCTCTACTCAGATCCCGAGGCTGCCGTACCTTTTCCAGGCCGGAATCTAGCCTCAGGCTACCCCGGCTTCCAGATTCTGACGCACACGTTGAGCTCTCCATGTTGTCTCCTCAAAGCCCCTCTCACTAGCTTGAGGTAAGGGAGAAGCTACCTCCGCACCCACTGCCTGTTGTTTCCAAACAAATCTTCCTCTCAAATCTTCTGAATCTACAGTCTCTCACTCCTTTCATATCAGTGACCAAGTTGAAGGATCTTATGTAAGGGGTCCAAGAGTCACATAACTGGTCTCATATTACTCCTTTGAAAATGTGGTTCTTGGAGGCCTGTCTCAGAACTTACTCTGATTGCTGCTATCAATTTGTCTTAGGACCTCATCCCAAAATTCCAATTTAATGTCCTGTTACAGTCCAAATACAGTTAAATGCGGGCCGCCCCTGTGGCTTAGCAGTTAAGTGCGTGCACTCTGCTACTGGTGGCCCGGGTTCGGATCCCCGGCGCGCACTGACGCACTGCTTCTCTGGCCATGCTGAGGCTGCGTCCCACATACAGCAACTAGAAAGATATGCAGCTATGACATACAACTATCTACTGGGGCTTTGGGGAAAAAATAAATAAATAAAAATTAAAAAACAAAACAAAACAAATACAGTTAAATGCTGCCTTTATAAATATTTCTATTCTCCTTTTGCTCTCTGGATTTGATGTCACAGAGACTTCTCTAACCAATATTTCCTTGGCTTGTGTGCTTATGCACACACTCACACACACACACACAAGTATTTATATATATGAAGATAAATGACTGTCTCTATTTTTTTTTTTTTTTGGTGAGGAAGATTGGCCCTGAGCTAACATCTGTGCCAATCTTCCTCTCTTTTGTATATGGGACGCTGCCACAGCATGGCTTGATCAGCGGTATATAGGTCCGCACCTGGGATCCAAACCTGCTGCCAAAGCGGAGCGTGCGAACTTAACCACTATGCCACCAGGCCAGTCCCTCTGTCTCTATTTCCTTGTCAAAGAAAGTTCTTATTGATAAATTTTAATGTTTGCATAATTCTGCACATCAGAACACCAAATGCCCTAGAAAAGTTCAAGACTAAGGCAAAAGATTGAATTTAGAGAAAGAAAGTAACCAGAAAACTCATCCCTAAATTTGGTGTTTGCATAGTTTGTTAGAATCGCATAGTCTGTTAGATTTGCAATCCAAATGGTTGGATTTATTATTAAAAAGGTAGTAGACAAGACTACAGATCAGATTTGGCATTTAGGCTTGACATTTCAATAGAAAAGTCTTTACCTAATCCTGACATAATTTTATTCAAGTGACCTCAAACAGTGAATGGCATCATTACATCACCATAGCTGTATCTCTCCATTTCCCAATTTGTTATGTCTGGAAATCAATGCCAAATTTCACATTTTCAGGAGAGAGAACATGTAGCTTTTCACCCAAAATTTAATTAAATCCAACAAACACTCAATTGAATTCAACAAATCTTGAATGCCTAGTAGATGCAAGGCACCTACTCAGTTTATAAAATAGTAGTGAAAATAACCAACATTTTTGAGCACCTACTATGTACTAAGTACTGTGCTGTTTCCTTTACATGTGTTGTTTCTTTTAATCCTCACAAAACTCTATGGAGTAGGTACTATTGTAATCTCCACTGTACAGATGTGGAAACTGAGGCACAAAGAGGTTAAGTAGCTTGACCAAAGTTACTTGATTGGATCCAGGCCTTTTTGATTCCAGAGTGCATGCTTTTAATCCACCATGAAGGAGACAAAGGGCTTTACTGTCTAACGTGACAAGGATGTGCAGGATAAAGGCAGAACTATGGATAGTAGATATGGCCCTAAGGGAGGTACACAGCATTGCGGAACTCAGGGGTGGAAGAGGATCTGCAAAGTATGGGCAGTCATGGAATTCTTCCTGGAGTAGGTAGCTTTTGAGCTTGTACTTAAAGGATGTGGCTGAAATTGTGAACCAAGGTGACCTGTGTTTCAGGTTAGAAACAAAGGTGTAGAGGTAGGGATGAGCAGGCTGTGTCTGAGATCCAGTTTGGCCCAAACATACATCCAATTAGGGAAGTAATAATAGCCACTGTTTATTTCTATCTTTTATGTATCACGCTCTTGACAGATGTTATTTCTACTTTTTAAGACAACTCTACAGAGTAGATATCATTAGCCTTGATTTATAGACAATAAAATGAAGGCTTTTGAGGTGTCACAGGGCAACTAAGTGACAGGCAAGATTTGAACTGGAGTCTTCCTGACACCACATTCCTGCCCTTTCTACTTTTTCATGCTGTCTTACTTTAGGGAGATAGAAAGCTAGGCTGGTGCCATATCGAGAAAGGCCTTGATGACTGAGGTGAGGAATTCTTACTTACCTTGGCAGGCAGAGGAGGGCAGGGGCAAAATTCAAGCTGAACTCTGGGAAGACAACTGCAATCTTTTGGGCAGTAGAAAGGAGAGCCTGAATTAGAAGAGCAGAGGTGCAACTGGACAAAAGGGGAGTAGATAAAAGAAATATGTAACAATGGAATTTAGAGACTTAATAACTGATTGGGTAGGAATAAGGCATAGAGAAAAGTATATAACATTTCTAAACTTTTGAGCCTCTCTGTTCTCCGAAGGGAGTTCTGCAATGGCCATTAACAGAAAAACAGGGCAGGAGGAGGAACTGGCTTTGTGGGATTGAGGAGGGAGAAAATGATATACTTAATTTGGGAGCTGGGGGTGGTGGTAACTTCTACATCTATGTGGAGATGAGTAACAGACAATTGGAGATTTAGTCAAGTCTGGGGCCAAGATCCAGTTACACAAAGAAAGTTGACAGTCAAAGCCATCGTAATCAGTGAAGACTATAAAGTGCAGAAAAATCCAATCTTAGTGTCTACTAAAGAAGTAGGAGAAAAAATAGAGCCCACCTATTATGTGCCTAGCACTGTGGAAACTACTGGGAAGGGTGACAAACCTTTTCTCATTAAGCTTCCAATATTGTTCCAGAGACTAATTACTCTCATGAAACTACGAGAAAATAGTACAAAACTTAATATACTCAGAAGCCATTATGTAGAGTATAAACAGTAAGAGTTATGGGATGTCGAAAAGAAGAGAGGTTGATGTGTTAGAGGTATTCGGGAGGTAAGAGAGAGGGCAGGGATTAGCACAAAGTATGGAGGTGGAAACTGTGCGTAGGCTGATGTGAGGGTAACATTGCTCCCCGTGTGGTGACAGGAATTTTTGATGTTTTCTCTGTTGCCCAGGAGATAGCCTGGAGGTAGAAAAGTATCAATAGGCTTTGGAGTAAGGGAGATTTCAAATCTTATATCTGCCTTTTACTGATGCTATAATATTGGGCGAATTACTTAGTTTTTCCGAACCCATTTCCTCTTTTTAAAAAAGTGAGCATAATACTTAATAAGATGGTTGTATAAATTCAGTAAAGTAACATATGAAAAGCATCTATCCCACTGCTTTTCACCGAAAGAGTGGGGAAAACCTAAATAACTCTTTCCTATGTTGTTTTTCTTGCTACCACTTGCACCGTTGGGATACCCACATTACCTGTTCTTCCCTCCAGCACAGCTTCCTGGAGACACAGTACACATCTAACATACGTGCGGGATTTTTGTACATCCACTTATTTCCTATTCAGGCACAGCTATAGGCCCTACAAAGAGGGTGCAGTAACTGCCTCCTGCTTTTATTGATACGATCTACTCAACAAGCATTTATTGAGCACCTACAATGTCCTAGTTACCGTCCTAGGTCCTGTTGGGGTATAGAGAGATACTCGAGATACGTATCCTCAAGATACTTAAAAATAAGAAACAGTCTCTGGCTAAATAGCTATTGGAGTTCAGAAGGTGGAGGAGTGTAATGGGTAGAGACCTTGTGTGCAATGAACACCGAGAGGAAGGTGGCATGATTTGCGGAAGAGACGTCATTTAAGCTGTCTTGACAGATGATAGAATTTACCATGCAGAGACCGGGGAGAGGAAAAAGGTATTAGAAGATATGTTGGTCGCAGAGTTTCTCAAAGCACAGTTATATCAATGCCAATACCTAACTGGAGGAAACTCCGTTTTGCTTGCTTTGGCATCTTAAGCCAATAGACAGAGTGCATGCTGAACAGAACTGCAACCCTTGCGAATAACACGGCCACAGTGACAGCAGTGGGTAACTGCAGCAGCCGCAGAGCTGCAATTACTCTAAAGCTCACTGGGGTAAAGATTCATTTGGACAATTGGTGAATTGTCGTAAACTCTGAGAAGCTGCAATTTCCAGACGTCGAGTTCATCTTCGTCAAACCCCCAGCTTGTTTTTTCGGCTAGGAGGTGAAATGCGCAGCCAGAAGGCCCAATTAGCGTCAGCGGAAAGAGGGCGGGGTGGGGGGAGGTCTCCGCTGCGGATAACTTTGGCTCCTCCCGAGATCTGCAAGGCTCAAACTTCGCCACACTAAACATGGCGCCCTCGAGGTTCCTCTCCTCGTTTCACCTCGCCTTCACCTTTGGCCACACTCAACATGGCCCTAACCAAGGGTTGCATTCTTGTGGAACCGTCTGGGGATAGTTCTCGCGATGTTTGCCCGGGCCCCTACTGCTCCCGCCCTGCCTCGCGCCGCCGCCGCCGCCGCCGCCGCCGGCGCCGCTCCTCCTCCGTGTCAGTTGTTGGGCTGTAATGGCGACTGGGCCGCTGCTGCTGAAGTGACTCCCGGGCGGGGGAGAGGGGCCAGACCTGCGCCAGAGGGAACTGCAGAGAGCCGCAGCTCAGGGGGTAGCTTGCTGTGGGGGAGGGGAGGCAGCCTTTCCGTCTCTCCTTCCTTCTCTGCAGACCCGCGGATCTCGGGAGCCGGTGCGAGGCGGGCACCCGGTGCGTCCCCGGAGCGGGGAGGCCAGGCCCGGCAGCCCTGGGGCAGGTTGGGGCGGCGTCACTGTACCCTCCGCCAGGCCCTGCGGGATGCACCGTGGGAGCCGAGGGCGGAGGCGACACTCTCAGGTGAGTTGCGGGAGGACCTGGCTGGGACCGTGGACGCTCTCTTAGCCTCCGCAGCCTCTGTCCGCGGTCCCGGGTCCCCAGTGGTGGCGAGAGAGGTGGGGCGGGGCGCGGGGAGCCCTGGCCCAGCCTGGCGTCGCCCTCGGGGAACCTTACTGGGTCCTGAGGCTTTGCGGGGAGGGCCATCCTGAGACTTCGGTTTCAGGTCCCACCGGTGCCTGCCGAAGACGGGATTTCCTTCCTTACCTGCCGGTCCTCCCCCGCTTCCCCCGCCCCTCCTCTCGTCTGCAAAAGATTTGAGATGCCTCTCTCCTTTGGTCTCCAGAGAAGTGTCCCTTCTTCATTGGAGATCAGGCATATTTGGGGAAATTCCGGGCAACTGGCTCCAGTGGCAAGCATGACTAGTTTCTGTTCCTTTTTGGTGGGGATAAACATTCCTAAACGTAGGGAAAACTTTGATCTTGTGTTCCAGTCTAGCAGCTGCTGAATGTAGTCTACTGATTTATTCACAAATGATGTAGGGGGAGATTTAAAAAGCCTTACGCTTTGAAAGTTTACGTAGCATTTTTCCCCGCCCTCTTTTTAAATATAGCCCAACGTGCTAAATAATATTTAGCTAATGTCACAACATGGGTTGGAATTTGGCTGGTTTTTTAGTTTTCAGATAGGAAGTCGCACATATAGATTTTAATGTGGTTTTAGTGTAGTAGCAAATCCTTCATATAGGAAAAAACAGGTGGTCAGGAATAGTGATCAGTATCCATGTACTCCACCTGATTGTTTTGTTTTGCTGGTGATCCTTGTTTTGAATTTGGAAAAGTCGTTAATGGTTATGTTGCCATGTTAACACGATACCTCCTCCTGTATTTTAAGGGTTTTAAAGAAAAGGCTATCTTAGGCAGACCTAGTAACAACTTGAGAAGGTTTGTAGAGGCAATGATAAAATACTGAAAGCTGCTCTCCATTTAAAAAATTTCTTAGTTTAAAATATTGTTTTTAAATAAGGCAGTGTGCTGCTAATAAAGTGAGATTGTGACTTTGGGGGATTGGTTGTTAGACCTATGGTAGAAGTTTCTTCAAACCCATGGGAGTGTAATAATTAGTTTTGGTGTGCTAAATTGACAAACGCCATGCAGAGTAATAAAATATATCTGAACCCTGGAACGGTCATTGCGTTGGATTTAAGATACTTTAATCAGAAAATAAACATAAGCTGGAATACATTGTATGTGTGGATAAATACATGTGTATCTCATCTTCATAGTCAGTAGCAGTACTTCCTGTTTGTAGTGATGGTGAGTTATAATATGTAAACAATTTCGTACATATGTGAAAAGATTTTTCCGAGATTTGTTGGTGTGTAGTGTTAGGGAGGAGCGTTAATACTTCAACAGCCAACCTCCTGTGGGGTAGTCAATTTATGAATTATGGAGTTTTGAGTTTTCTTCTGTTGCTTCGGATTGCCAGTCTTTTGCCCGTTTTATAACGCTTCTACCATATCATGGACAGAAAAAAGACATGTAGCCCCTGTCTAACCAATTTTATTTGTTAAATTGGTATAAGTTATAGTGAGAGCAAAAAAGCTGCTGTCTAAAATAACTGACGTCATTTTTTGGTGTGCTTCCACATACATTATTTTATTTAGTCTACATAGCAATTTTGTGAGTAGGTTTGGCAAATATCTTACTTTGCAGTTGTGGAAATTGACACACAAGTAAGTTCGTTTATTTTTGTGAATGCTGCTGTTATTTCTGCAGATGATTGAGAATTAGTTTTATTTTCAATTTTTTTTATTGAGATATAATTGACATATAACATTATATTAGTTTCAGGTGTGCACATAATGATTCCCTATTTGTATATATTGGGAAATGATCACAACAATAAGTCTAGTTAACATCCTAGAATTAGTTTTATTTTAAATTGAATATTAATGTAGATACTTCTGGCATTTGGTTTTTTAAAATCTAAAAAAAATTCTATTCTTGTTCTTTTTGACATGCCACTTGCTCCTTATGCTGATGACTGTCACTTCTTTAAAAACATTAGTACTTTCATAGCATTTTGTTAATTATTAACAAGTCATGAATTATTATAATGGATTGCATTAGTTCTGTATGTACTTTTTGCTTGAATAATGTTCCTAAGAAATTGTAGTTAATTTGTCATCACTCATTTTGTTTGGATACTTACTTCTGTCATCTTTGGTATTTCAAATCATTTATACTCTTGGTTATGTAAAGCAGATATTCAAGCCACATAGTCAGTAGCATAACTGAGTAGTAACAACTTGGTGATTTTATTGTAGAGACAACTGATGATTTAAAAAGTTAAATCACCATCTACACTTCTTTTTTTTAATTTTATTTATTTATTTTTTTCCCCCAAAGCCCCAGTAGATAGTTGTGTGTCATAGCTGCACATCCTTCTAGTTGCTGTATGTGGGACGCGGCCTCAGCATGGCCAGAGAAGCGGTGCGTCGGTGCGCGCCCGGGATCCGAACCCGGGCCGCCAGCAGCCGAGCGCGCGCACTTAACCGCTAAGCCATGAGGCCAGCCCTCCATCTACACTTCTGATTGCTGTTTCTGCAGTGTGGGACCGGTTGTTAGATAATTTTCTTTTTTCCCCATGTCAGACAATTTCTGGTGTCATAAATAGTCCAAAAACCCTGAGTAAACAAAAGATTGCGTAGTTTTTTCCTGCACTAATACTTTTTGTTTATTGTTACCACAAGTATAACTCTACATTTACTAGTGCTTATTTGGGGTTATTATTTGCCTTTCTTATCTAGTCCGTAAGTTTCATGATGGCAGAAATCCTCTATTGATTACCGTGCACCCAATGCCTAGCACATAGTAAACTTCCACCAATATATATTCAACCAATAAATTCAAAAAATTCAATAAATATTGGTTGAATAAATTGACTAAAGTGTTGTCTCGGTATAATATTTAAAAAACAAAACAAAACACTAGTTCATAGTTCCTAGGCACATCTCAACTCTTCTTCTTTTTTTTTTTTTTGTGAGGAAGATCAGCCCTGAGCTAACACCCCTGCCAATCCTCCTCTTTTTGCTGAGGAAATTACAGTAATTACTCTTAATTACAGTATTAGGATTTTTAAATCTTAAAGGCTGACTAGTTTAATTCCCACGTTTTATACATAAACAAACAGAGTATCATATAGGGAAATATCTTACCTATAGTTGGTTTCATAACTGGGTGAAGAATCCACTGTCAGCTGCTAAGTTTACATTTGTTTAAAGTGTCAGATAATTATCAGATCAGAGGATAATTGTGAACAACCTGGCCATCTATTCTATATCAGTGTTAATTAAAAACTGAAAACAGGACTGTCTTTTCATGAGTCAAAAATATTTGTTAACAATGAATCTCAACCCTCTGTTCTGTCATTGGGACTATAAATTGGTACAACTGGAACAATGTTCTTGAAGGACATGTGGCATTATCTACCAAAATTAAAAGTGCACATATTCTTTGATAGAATAATTTCATTTTTAGGAGTGTTATTTTACAGAAATTTTAACACTAGAGCCCAAGAACAAATCTATAAGGATGTTCATTTTAGATTATTACAAATAAATGTGAACATTTATAAGTAACAGAGAATGTCTTAATTGTCCATTGGTAGGGGAATAGTTAAAATTATAGTATATTTATGCCATGAGATATTATGCACTTGTTAACAGGTTGAGGGATTTCTGTATTTACTTCATGAGAAGCAACTGAGCTTATCCTTGAGTGCAGGGACCATGCAGCAAACTTTCTGGGTTCAAACCCTAATGGCACCATTTATTAGCTGTGACCATTTGCAAGTTACTTAAACTCATCTATAAAGTGGATATAATTATAGTTCTTATCTGACAGGGCTGTTGTGAGAATTAAATGAGTTAATATTTAAGCCCTAGGTAAGCATAGTAAGCGCCACATAAATGTTTGCAGTTACTATTAGGTACTGACATGGAAGAATGTTCATAATATAATGATTGAAAAAATAGGTTGTACTACACAGTGGAATATGATTCGTTTTGTACAAACACACACATAGGCAAAGAAATGTAGTTTGATTTTGTATGTGCAAAGGAAAATGTGTAAGAATCGACATTAAACTATTAGCAGTGTTATCCCTGGGGGAGTAGATAACTTTCCTTTTTTTACTTAAGACACTTTTGTATTGTTTATTGTAAGTCCCGCTTTTATAATTTTTGAAAGCTTTTTCCTAAAAAAGAAAATATTGGAGCAGAATTTTTCTTCAATTATACAGTCATATAAATGGAGTTGTTTCTCAGAGATCTACAGATTTCATCAGCCAGATATCACATAATTGGATTCTATTTCAAAACTTTTGTTGATGAAAGGTTAAAATTAATCTATGAAAATTCCTACTAAATGTATTTATTTTTCTGCTAGCTTTGTGACCTTAAAGCTCATTTCTTAATTTACAAAGTAAATACGTAGGTTAGATCAGTGTTTCTTAAACTCAAGATTCCTAAACTGTGCCCAAAAGTACCTTGGAGCACCATAGTGAACTCACACAAGCACTGTGGGATATTTTTAAATTTTCGAGGGAAACAGTAATATTTGACATCTGTGGGACACTGCTCAAACGATTAGTTTGAGATAGTGCACATGAGATTGTGCTACATTCCTTTCCGTGACAGTATGTCTTCAAAAAACTAGGTTTTGGAGGGCTGCTGTGATAAAAAGCAAGTACTGTGTAAAAATCAATGTGAAACAGTACGTGAAAGTGGTAGTGTCCAAAGTGATTTCAAGATTTGAGAAGTTGTGTAATGTGTATTAGGTGCACACATCCCATCAATAAGTAATGTGGTTATTTGGTAATAAAATAAAATATTTTTTCAATTTATATGTATTTTTCAAACAGCTACTAAGTTGTCAGTATGTAAATAGGTTGTATGGTCCTAACTACCTAATAACTATAAGTGTTAGGTGTTTTTTGGCCTGGGGGCACCATGAAAAAAT